ATTGCGTGAAGTTCCCAAGTCAATTGAACAATGAGAACTAGGAGGATGAAGAGGATGAGCACGGGTAGAGGCATACGGAAATACCAGCACCAGCACCATTGAAACACCAAAACAACCCCAAACCATCAAATTAATCTTGGTGAGGGTTCCCTACCACATGCGGGCGAAGTACCCGATTGTGAATATCTTCTTCGGCGGGGCTTCCTACGGGTCGACGAGCCTAGTAAGGCGCGTGCCCGGATTTGTCGGCGGCGAGGCGACGCCCCGCGCAGTCCTCCCCCGCCTGCGGAACCCCCGGGGACTTCGACCCCAGACGACGATGACGACGACGGCGACGGCGACAGCGACGGCGACGACGACGACGACGACGGCGGCGGCGGCGGCGGCGACAACGAGGACGGCGACGACGACGAAGTCGTGCCGCCCGTCGCTCTCTCGGAGCGGGGCTCCCCGGACCGTCAGAATTCAACCGATGACGAAAAGCTGGACCCAGGGAAGCTGGTGGGACCACTAGGAGCCACCGTGGACCCCGTATTGAAAAAATCACGACGGCGGTGCCACTGGGGCCTTGGGTGGACCTTCCTATGGGGCCACGAAGCCTGTGACGGGTGTGCCGACATGGATGCGGCGGACGCATGTGGACGATGGCAGTGGGGCCTTGGGTGGACCTCCCTGTGGGGCCACGAAGCGTGTGAGGGGTGTGCCGAAATGGGTGTCGCGCACGCGTGTGGACGGAGGCAGTGGGGCCTTGGGTGGAGCTCCCCATGGGGCCACGAAGCTTGTGAGAGGTGTGCCGACATGAGTGTTGCGGACGCATTGGGACGGTGCCACTGGGGCCTTGGGTGGACCTCCCTAGGGGGCCACGAAGCGTGTGAGGGGTGTGCCGAAATGGGTGTGGCGGACTCATGTTGACGATGGCAGTGGGGCCTTTGGTGGACCTCCCTAGGGGGCCACGAAACGTGTGAGGGGTGTGCCCAAATTGGTGCGGTTCACGCATGTGATGTGGACGGTGGCAGTGGGGCCTTGGGTGGAGCTCCGTCAGGGGCCACGAAGCGTGTGAGGGATGTGCCGAAATCGGTGTCGCGGACGCATTTGGACGGTACCATTTGGGCCTGGGGTGGAGCTCCCTGCGGGGCCACGAAACGTGTCAGGGGTGTACCGAAATGGGTGTGGCGGACGCATGTGGACGGTGCCACTGGGGCCTTGAGTGGAGCTCCGTCTGGGGCCACGAAACGTGTGAGCGGTGATTGTGATGGCCATGGCTGGGAACAAATAATGATTGCAGAGCGTAATCGGTCTGGGGCTTGTGGGCCTTGAAATCCAGGAACATTGAACATAGGGCGACAAGGGAAATCCAACACAATGAGGTTAATCCCTTGGGGATTCCATTTTTTCTAAAAGAACAAATCCATGTTTGCAGATCTGAGTCTGCCTGTGGCTCGCGGAGCTGGCAATCCAGACACATTGAACAACCTTAGAACAACACAGAGTGACATTCCCAAACCATCTAGTTCATCCATGTGAGGGTTCCAAGAAAACGCACAAATGTCTGCAGAACTTGGTCGGTGACGGTTGGCAGGGCGCTGTCAAGGCGATTAAGTGCAGCAGCTTTTTTTGGGTTGGAATGCCCGTAGGAATTCTTTAGTTGTAGATGGTAGGGTCTCCTGTGTTTTCCCAACCCTTCCTTGGCCCTCCTTCTGCTGCTCCGCCTCGTGCCCTCGCCGTTCCTTAGGGGGCTGCGATCAACGAAACTGTCGCCACTTTCGTGGGCTTCTGTGAGAGCCAGCAGAGGTACGACATACGCAGGTGACCACGAGACCTCGCCGTCCCCTGGGGGGCCTGCGATCTGCGAATCTGTCGCCACTTTCGTGGGCTTCTGGGAGGGCCAGCGGAGGTGCGTCCTACGCAGATCACCGCGCCGTTCCCTGGTGGGGGACTGCGATCTACGAATGTGTCGCCACTTCCGTCGGCTCCTGGGAAGCCAGCGGAGGTACGTCATACGCAGATCACCGCGAGATCTCGCCGTCCCCTTTGGGGCCTGCGATCTGCGAATATGTCGCCACTAAGGGGTGGCCAGCGGAGGTACGACATACGCAGACCACCACGAGACCTCGCCGTCCCCCTGGGTGGCTACGATCTGCGAATCTGTCGCCACTTTCGTGGGCTCCTGGGAGGGCCAGCGGAGGTACGTCATACGCAGATCACCACGAGACATCGCTGTCATTAGGGGGGCTGCGATCTGCTAAGCTGTCGCCACTTTCGTGGGCTTCTGTGAGAGCCAGCAGAGGTACGACATACGCAGATCACCACGAGACCTCGCCGTCCCCTGGTGGGGGGCTGCGATTTGCGAAGCTGTCGCCACTTTCGTGGGAATCTGTGAGAGCCAGCAGAGGTACGACATACGCAGGTCACCACTAGACCTCGCCGTCCCCTGGAGGGCTGCGATCTGCGAATCTGTCGCCACTTTCGTGGGCTCCTGGGAGGCCCAGCTGCGGTACGTCCTACGCGCATCACCACGAGACCTCGCCGTCTTCTGGGGGGCTGCGATCTGCGAATTTGTCGCCACTTTCGTGGGCTTCTGGGAGGGCCAGCGGAGGTACGTCCTGCGCAGGTCACCGCGAGCCCTTGCCTTCCCCGGGGGGGCCTGCGATCTGCGAATCTGTCGCCACTTTCGTGGGCTTCTGGGAGGGCCAGCGGAGGTACGACATACGCAGATCACCACGAGACCTCCCGTCCCCTGGTGGGGGACTGCGATTTGCGAAGCTGTCGCCACTTTCGTTGGCTCCTGGGATGGCCAGCGGAGGTGCGCCCTATGCAGATCACCACGAGACCTCGCCGTCCCCTGGGGGCCTGCGATCTGCGAGTCTGTCGTACGTTCTGCGCAGGTCACCGCGAGACCTTGCCTTCCCCGGGGGGGGCCTGCGATCTGCGAATCTGTCGCCACTTTCGTGGGCTCCTGGGAGGCCCAGCGGAGGTACGTCCTTGGCAGATCACCACGAGACCTCGCCGCCAGCTGGGGGGGGGCTGCGATCTGCGAATCTGTCGCCACTTTCGTGTGCTTCTGGGATGGCCAGCGGAGGTACGACATACGCAGACCACCACGAGACTTCGCCGTCCCCTGGGGGGCTGCGATCTGCGAAGCTGTCGCCACTTTCGTTGGCATCTGGGAGGGCCCGCGGAGTGACGTCCCACGCAGATCACCACGAGACCTCGCCGTCCCCTGGGGGGTTGCGGTCTGCGAACCTGTCGCCATTTTCGTGGGCTTCTGGGAGGGCCAACGGAGGTACGCAGACCATCACGAGACCTCCCCGTCCCCTGGGGGGCCGGCGATCTGCGAAGCTGTCGCCGCTTTCGTGGGCTTCTGGGAGGGCCAGCGGATGTACGTCCTACGCAGATCACCACGAGACATCGCTGTCCCTCTGGGGGGCTGCGATCTGCGAAGTTGTCGCCGTTTTCGTGGGCTCCTGGGAGGCCCAGCGGAGGTAGGTCCTACGCGGATCACTACGAGACTTCACCAAGCACGAAGGACTCGCCCATCGTTGACCGCGTCCCCTCTGTGCGGGTTGTGCCTTGGCCGCTTGAATTCCGTGACATTTTGTCCAGTGCGCGTGCCCGAGCTTGCAGTGCGCCGCGCAGTTCAGCTTCACCCGTCAGCCCGCAGCTGTCTGAGTCTGAGTGGGCCGTCCGGCGCGCCTGTCTTAGCTAATTCGCCTAGTTCGCGTCCTGGACTTTGCTTTCGCCGCCTGACCGTCGTCTCGTGGCCGCGACCAAAAAAGGATCACCACGAGACCTCGCCGCCAGCTGGGGGGCTGCGGTCTGCGAACCTGTCGCCGCTTTCGTGGGCTTCTGGGAGGGCCAGCGGGGTGACGTCCTACGCGGATCACCACGAGACCTCGCCGTCCCCTGGGGGGCTGCGATCTGTGGAGCTGTCGCCACTTTCGTGGGCTTCTGGGAGGGCCAGCGGAGTGACGGCTTACGCGGATCACCACGAGACCTCGCCGCACTCTGGGGGGCGGCGGTCTGCGAAGCTGTCGCCGCTTGTGTGGGCTTCTGGGAGGGCCAGCGAAATGACGTCATACGCGCACCCCCGGGGGCCTGCGATCTGCGAAGCTGTCGCCACTTTCGTGGGCTCTTGGGAGGGCCTGCGGAGTGACGTCCTACGCGGATCACCACGAGACCTCGCCGCCCCCTGGGGGGCTGCGATGGGCTTCTGGGAGGGCCAAAGGAGTGACGCGGTGTGTGCGAGCGCCGCGCAGCGAATATCGAATGGGCCTGTCCGTTGCCGATGCCGCATCACTTCTTCAGCTGCCTGTTGCTTGTAATGCGTGCGGGCACATGCTACGTTTAGCGCAAAGCGCTGTACTGTCATAGCGCGCAGAACGTTGTCCTGCAATGCGAACACAGCGCAAGGCGCTTCTACTCCCACGGATTATGTCTCCAATCGTCCTTCCTCCACATGTATCCACGCCCCATCGTGGTCGCTCTTCTGCCAACGACCAGACTTTTCAAAATGGCGCAGCATATTTTGAAACATTTGACTATGGTCTTACATTTTGGGCGAAGGGTTTAAGGGCATTGCGTATCATTCATTTTTTTGTGTGTTGAACGATCCGATGTAGGCTCGCCACATGTTCCAAAGGGTTGCATGCCTCCCCGGGTTACTTCCGAAGGTTTGTTGTGCGCGTCTCTTCCGTGGCCGTTTTGGCCGAAGATTTCGCGTGGAATCGTCGATATCAGATATATCAGATCCCGAAGCAATTCGATAATAAGCACCATGCAGATCTTCGTGAAAACGTTGACAGGCAAGACGATCACCCTGGATGTGGAGGCCAGTGACACCATCGATAATGTCAAGGCGAAGATCCAGGATAAGGAGGGCATCCCTCCGGACCAGCAGCGCCTGATCTTCGCAGGGAAGCAGCTGGAGGACGGGCGCACGCTCTCGGACTACAACATCCAGAAGGAGTCCACGCTTCACCTGGTGCTGCCTGCGCGGTGGAATGCAGATCTTCGTGAAGACGTTGACAGGCAAGACGATCACCCTGGATGTGGAAGCCAGTGACACCATCGATAATGTCAAGGCGAAGATCCAAGATAAAGAGGGCATCCCTCCGGACCAGCAGCGCCTGATCTTCGCAGGGAAGCAGCTGGAGGACGGGCGCACGCTCTCGGACTACAACATCCAGAAGGAGTCCACGCTTCACTGGTGCTGCGCCTGCGCGGTGGATGCAGATCTTCGTGAAGACGCTGACAGGCAAGACGATCACCCTGGATGTGGAGGCCAGGACACCATCGATAAATGTCAAGGCGAAAATCCAGGATAAGGAGGGCATCCCTCCCGATCAGCAGCGCCTGATCTTCGCAGGAAGCAGCTGGAGGACGGCGCACGCTCTCGGACTACAACATCCAGAAGGAGTCCACGCTTCAACTGGTGCTGCGCCTGCGCGGTGGAATGCAGATCTTCGTGAAGACGCTGACAGGCAAGACGATCACCCTGGATGTGGAGGCCAGTGACACCATCGATAATGTCAAGGCGAAGATCCAGGATAAGGAGGGCATCCCTCCGGACCAGCAGCGCCTGATCTTCGCAGGGAAGCAGCTGGAGGACGGTCGCACGCTCTCGGACTACAACATCCAGAAGGAGTCCACGCTTCACCTGGTGCTGCGCCTGCGCGGTGGAATGCAGATCTTCGTGAAGACGCTGACAGGCAAGACGATCACCCTGGATGTGGAGGCCAGTGACACCATCGATAATGTCAAGGCGAAGATCCAGGATAAGGAGGGCATCCCTCCCGATCAGCAGCGCCTGATCTTCGCAGGGAAGCAGCTGGAGGACGGGCGCACGCTCTCGGACTACAACATCCAGAAGGAGTCCACGCTTCACCTGGTGCTGCGCCTGCGCGGTGGAATGCAGATCTTCGTGAAGACGCTGACAGGCAAGACGATCACCCTGGATGTGGAGGCCAGTGACACCATCGATAATGTCAAGGCGAAGATCCAGGATAAGGAGGGCATCCCTCCGGACCAGCAGCGCCTGATCTTCGCTGGGAAGCAGCTGGAGGACGGTCGCACGCTCTCGGACTACAACATCCAGAAGGAGTCCACGCTTCACCTGGTGCTGCGCCTGCGCGGAGGCATGTAGCTTTTTTGTTGAAGAGCCTTCTTGTCTACATGAGGGCGGCTCTCGCAATGGACGTTCAGGTTAGGCTGTCTGTTGCTGATGCGATCATTCAGGGCTTGGGACCATTCCCTTTTATCTTTGCCGATAGTCGCACGGCAGCATATGCGACGGCAGATCGCCAGCAGATTAGACGCTTCCACTGGAATGCTGTGTTTCTTCTTCTCCATGTAGTTTGGTTCATACGCGGCCAGTCTACGGGAGCGGATAGTGCAGCCAGCATGGATTCACAGGCGCATTTCAGCGCACTTTTTCAGTACATGAACTGCTGCCGTTAGGCACCGCCTTGAGACATGAGACACCACAGCTGCGTGGCATGGCCCGCTGTCGAGCGTGAACAAAAAAGAACAAAGGTTCGTGCGCGTCTCTTGATTCCTAGCACCACGCGCCCCAGAGTGAGGAGGATGAGGAGGAACAGAGGGTCCAGAGTATACCCATGATGCATCAACGATGCTGCAGTGCAGTCTCCTGTAACGTCGCATGCCCCATCCTCGCGGGTCTATGCTCAAGTCGGGCGTGCCCCTCTACAAAAGGAGTGTTCAAGAATAACTATTTTGGATTCTTTGTTCGTGAACATGTTTAGTTTTCGTTCAAGTCCCGCCTGTATGATGACACGCCCGACCTAAGTCTATGTAGTCGTTTCCTATCACGACTGGACGCGCCTCCCAGAACCGTAAACGCCTCAGGGGCGTGGCTTTCCTGAGAGAAGCTCGGGAGGCGGAGGAGGGGAGGGAGGAGGCGGAGGAGGAGGAAGGATGATGAGGATGAGGAGGAAGAGGAAGAGGAGGAGGAGGAGGAGGAGGAGGAGGACGAGGAGGAAGAACAAACATAGCATAGTAATAAACAACATAATACGAAGAATACTACGTACATAATGATAGGACTAGTTTGAATAATACGATCTACAAACTATATTACCAAGAGTAATCATCGAGTCATATGGCTAAACATGCTAACCTTATTACTACTACTACTACTACTACTCATAATGCCAATCGCGAACATCTGGATACTAATATTAAGACGTATATCAGTTGTCGTAGTAATAATGGCAATACTACTATTAAGAACAGTATTGCAAATCATGCTAAGAGTTCTAGTAATACTAACAAGAGTGATACTATTACGAACACGATGAACAGTACGAATAATATTCATACCGAGCCGTAATCTTAATCATAGTCATCACAGTATTAGTAGTATGAATACTACTACTTCTACTTCTACTTCTTCCTATATTACTACTGCTACTACTGCTGCTACTACTACTACTACTACTACTACTACTACTACTACTACTACTACTACTATTACTACTACTACTACTACTACTACTACTACTACTACTACTACTAACTACTACTACTACTACTACTACTACTACTACTACTACTACTACTACTACCTACTACTACCTACTACTACCTACTACCTACTACCTACTACCTACTACCTACTACCTACTACCTACTACCTACTACCTACTACCTACTACTACTACTACTACTACTACTACTACTACCGCTACGATTACTATTCAGAATAGCAGTAATAATACAAACGCCAGTAATAGTGGAGGAGCAGGAGGAGGAGCAGGAGGAGCAGGAGCGGGAGGAGGAGGAGGAGGGGGAGGATATGGAGGAGAGGGAGGAGGAGGAGGAAGAGGAGGATGAGGCGGAATAATCATGGTACGACAAAGACGAATAATAGTATTAAGCTGAATGAGAAGACCAAGCCGTATTACACACATTAATAGTAGTAACAATGCTAACAATACATTTATGATAATTTACGGCTAATACTATTAAGTCTTCGAAGGATAATACATGGCCAATAAGGAAAATACTAGTGGTGAGCATAAGACGCATATGAATCATACTTGTAGTAATACGAGTGATACGAACCGTACTAATAATACGGATCAGTCTAATAATACACACATACCAACTAAGCAGAAACCGAACACTTGTACTACTATTCTTTTTGAAGAATCTGAAGAATAAAACGAATACGACGAATAAAATAATCTAGCACTGATAATAATACCACCATTCGTAGTAATCGTGGTACTAATCTTAATACTATTCAGAAAAATACCAACAATAATCATACGACAACTAATCAGACTAATACTATCAATATTAATCAACAGTGTAATGCTAATACTGCTAACAGTCAGAAACATAAGCATCGTACTAGTAATAATCACAGGAGGAGGATGAGGAAGAAGGGGGGGAGCAGCAACGTGGTGGTGGAGCTGTGTTGGGCGCATGTGTGCCACAGCCGGACACGCACACATATATTTATGTATACACATACACATATATATATATGTATATGTATATGTTTCTATACATATAGATACACGTTTTTGTTGTTGTTGCTGTCGGGACAATGCTCGTCGCCGCGGCTGGACGCGTTTCGAAAGTGTCTTGTGATGCGGGCCGCGGTGCGTGGTCACGTCCCCACCGATCAAGGTACGCCTGGTCTGCATAATGCAGTTCTGCATAATGCAGTTATGTAGCAGTAAGGCAACCAGTAGTTTCTCTTGCGTTCTCTAACGCAGTCGACGTTTTCACATGTTCACACGCTGGGTCCGTGGAGGCCTGGGGGGGAGACAGGATCTGATGGGGGTGCGGGTGCAACTCCAGAAGGGGCGCGTGCTCTTATACATGCGTTTCAACGAAGGGGACAGCGCCTTCCACATTTCTCCCTTTTCCCTCCTCCCTCGCCTGACGCGGGCGGCCTCTGCATCGGGCGCGCCTGCAGCAAACGTTGCACAAGTAGTTCCTTTCCTCTTTTCCGTCCCCCCTTCTCCCTTGCCACTCCCTGTTTTCCCTCTCCTACCTCTTTCTCCTCTTCCTTCTCTTCCGCTGCCTCCATCTTCTCCTCATCCCTTATACTCCTTCCTCCCCCTTCTCCCCCACCGTCTCTCTGCTTCTTCCCCCTGGTCCCCTTCCCCCTCCTCCTCCTCCTTCCCCTCCTCCCCCTCTTCCCCCTCCTCTTCCTCGTCCCCCTCCTCCTTATCCTCCTCGTCGTCGTCGTTCTCCTCCTCCTCCTCCCTGTCCTTCCATGCCTCCTCCTCTTCCTCCTCCTCTACCTCCCCCTCCCTACCTCCCTTCCCTCCTCCTAGTGCTCCCCCTCCCTCCAGGTGAACACGTACATCAAATCCCTGAATTGGGGCTCCAAGACCGAGCTGCGTTCCAAGAACGTGACTTACTTCAATTCGTTCGCGACCTTCGAGGACGCCTGGACGCCCGGTCGGGCTCGTCGATGGCCTGGGCGCCTCGTCCTCTTCTTCTTCCTCCTCCTCCTTCTGCTCCTCCCCCTCCTCGTCCCTCCTCCCATCCGGCTCCGCCTCGTTCGTGTTCCTTCCTTTTCGTCCTGGTCCTCTGTCTTTCCGCGTCCTCCTTTCCTTCTCACATCCCTCCTCCCTCCTTCCTCGTTCCTCCTTCTCCCTCCTCCCTCCCTCTTCCCTCCTTCCTTTTCCCTCCATCCTCCCTCCTCCCTCCTCCTCCGTTCTTCTTCTTACTTCTCCTCTCCTCCTCCCTCTATCCCTCCTCCCTCCACGTTCTCATGTTCCTCCTCTACATTTTTCTTTAACCCCTCCCTCCTCCCCACACTTCGCCCTACCCCTCCTCCATACTTTTTCCCTCATTCCCTCCCCCGTCCTTCCCCTCCCTCCCTCCTCCTCCTCCTCCTCCCCCTCCTCCACAATCCGTCCTGCCTGGTGCTGGCGCGCAACGACGACGGCGACGACGACGACGACGACCACGACGACGACGACGACAACGACGACGACCACGACGACGACGACGACGACCACCACGACGACGACGACCACGACGACGACGACGACCACGACGACGACGACGACGACAACATCAATGACAGCGGCATCGTGCCTCAAAGTCCCCCGAGGCTGCCTCTCTTGTCCCTCGCCGCACAGCCTCCCGTGAGCCCCTGAGATCCGACGGTGCGGCACGCGACACATCGGCAACGATGATACCGATAAGAGCGACGGCGGCTTGGAGGCGGCCAGGGGGTCTGAGCTGGATGGGCCCCGAGCAAATCGGCCAAGACATGGGGATCCAGGCAGATCCGTTCAGAGTCGGCCCTGGGGCCTCCTCTCGGTGTGCATCTGGAGCAGTTTTTCCCCCCCGGACCCGTTTGTGACGGCCCCGGGGCCCGAAGACGGCCCCCCAGCGACGAGGAGGGCACAGCGCCTCTTCGAACCTGGCGCCTCGAGCCTCGCCCTTTTCTCCCTGCTCGCCAGAACCAGAGCTGGGCTACCTCAGACCCCGCCCGCTCCGGACGGCGGCAGCATCGGCGGCGCCGCCAATAGCTGCGGCGGCGTCGCCGACGATGCCGACGACCACGCCGTCGGCGGCTGCGACGGCGGCGCCGACGACGCCGGCGGGCGGCGGCAGCCGTGGGCACTCCGCGGCGGGGCCGCCTCGGAGGCCGCCACCGCCGCCCCGAGCTCCCTCCTCCGGAGGCGCGACCGTTTATCGGGCGGGGCTGGTTCTGCAGCAGATCATGGGAGCCTTGTGTGTCCCCATAATTCCGTCTTGAGCGAATGATTCGGCCAAAAATTAGCCTGGCGAAGGACCCAACCATATGCAGTTGTGGGTATCGCATTCGGGGGAGCCCCGTATGGGGCCACGAAACGCTGTACTGGGGGGGGGACGCATGCGAACTGCGCCACTGGGACCCTCGGTGGAGCTCCCTATGGGGCCACGAAGCGCTGTACTGGGTGGGGGGGACGCATGCGAACTGCGCCACTGGGGCCTTCGTGGAGCTCCCTATGGGGCCACGAAGCGCTGTACTGGGTGGGGGGGGTACGCATGCGAACTGCGCCACTGGGACCTTCGGTGGAGCTACCTATGGGGCCACGAGACGCTGCCCTGGGTGGGGGAACCGCATGCGAACTGCGCCACTGGGGCCTTCGGTGGAGCTCCCTATGGGGCCACGAAACGCAGCCCTGGGTGGGGGAACCGCATGCGGGCTGTGCCACTGGGACCCTCGATGGAGCTCCCTATGGGGCTACGAAACGCTGCCCTGGGCGGGGGAACCGCATGCGGGCTGTGCCACTGGGACCTTCGGTGGAGCTCCCAATGGGGCCACGAAGCGCTGCCCGGAGGGGGGAATCGCATGCGGGCTGTGCCACTGGGACCCTCGGTGGAGCTCCCTATGGGGCTACGAAACGCTGCTCTGGGTGGGGGAACTGCATGCGGGCTGTGCCACTGGGACCTTTGGTGGAGCTCCCTATGGGGCCACGAAACGCAGCCCTGGGTGGGGGAACGGCATGCTTGCTGTGCCACTGGGACCTTCGGTGGAGCTCCCTATGGGGCCACGAAACGCTGCCCTAGGTGGGGGAACCGCATGCGGGCTGTGCCACTGGGACTTTCGGTGGAGCTCTCTATGGGGCTACGAAACGCTGCCACTGGTGGGGGAACCGCATGCGGGCTGTGCCACTGGGACCTTCGGTGGAGCTCCCAATGGGGCCACGAAACGCTGCCCAGGGGGGGGGAACCGCATGCGGGCTGTGCCACTGGGACCTTCGGTGGAGCTCTCTATGGGGCTACGACACGCTGCCCTGGGTGGGGGAACCGCATGCGGGCTGTGCCACTGGGACCTTTGGTGGAGCTCCCTATGGGGCCACGAAGCGCTGCCCTAGGTGGGGGAACCGCATGCGGGCTGTGCCACTGGGACCTTTGGTGGAGCTCCCTATGGGGCCACGAAACGCTGCCCTGGGTGGGGGAACCGCATGCGGGCTGTGCCACTGGGACCTTCGGTGGAGCTCCCTATGGGGCCACGAAGCGCTGCCCTGGGGGGGGGGGACCGCATGCGGGCTGTGCCACTGGGACCCTCGGTGGAGCTTCCTGTGGGGCCGCGAAACGTGTGAGGGGTGTGCCGAGAGCAGAGGCAAGGAGGGGGAGGGGGAGGAGGGAGGGGGCAGCGGGAGGAGAAGGAGACGCGGGGCACCGTTTCTTCAACACGAGGACCCAACACCACAGGATGGTTGGGAACAAACGACACCACCCCGCCTACGGCTCTCCATGTTGCGCTGCGGCCCATCCGGGCCCGTAGCGTATACCATGCAAAAGCCCACGCCAGATGTCCTGGTATACGCTACGGCCCGTGGGGCCGCAGGTGGGGTGGTGTTGTTTGTTTTCTGGTCCAATGAGCGTGCGCTATTGTAGCGTTTGGCAGTCGATGGGAAGGCGCCGATTTGGCGTCGACTAGCGTCCATTTGGCGTCGATTGGCGTAGATTCGAGCCAATGAGTGCCGGCCGATCAGCGTCGGTTAGCGTAGATCCTCAAGAGCCAGGAAGATAGCATGGGAGGTTCCCACGATGTGCCACCGAAGGGCCAGGACAGGGATGAATCTCGTGCACAAACATACCTCTCGGAGGTCCGCGCGGATCTCTCGGATCGGCGCTGGCGTGGAGCGGTGTCGTCGCCCGTCCAGTCCACGTCCTCTGCCTCCTGCTTGCCGAACGCTCCTCCGTGCGCGCTCCCTTCTGCCTGGGTTACGCTCGGATGCAGTGTAAGATCGAGGTCGGGTCGGCGAGGGCACCCTCATGTTCTTCGTGCTTGTTGGATGTTCTGGTGCATCCTGGGGAAGGATAGCCTCGAGTGTTCTGTGCGTTTTGGCCGCTGGAGGGTCTGATGTTCTTGCTGGATGTCCTGCTGCCCTGGGTCCGGCTGTGCGTTTTGGCCGGCGGAGGGTCTCGCGTCTCATGTTCTTGACGGATGTTCTGCTGCCCGAGGTCTGGCTGTACGTCCTGCGCGCTGCTTCCCGCGTGCTGCCTCTTCTCTTGCACATCCATGCCCCCTTCCGTCCCTCTCCCTTGTGAATAACTCCTCGTGCAGCACCGGCTTGCCGCCCCGGCCGCTCAGCGGCGGCATCCGCCGACTTGAGCGCTCTCCCTCCCTCCCCCCGCCCCGCGGCCGCTTTGCCTGTATCCTGCTCCTCCTGCCGCCGGTTGATTCGCGCTTTCCGCTGCCCGGATCTCTCGAGCGCGCGTGCGGACTGCCTGTGCCGCGCTGCGACGTAAAACGTGAAGTGCTCCTCCCTGTCGCACCCCGAGACGGGTCGGTAGGGCGGGCCGGGCGTTTCTCCAAAGACTTCCTCACCGTTTGTGGTCTTGAAGCTTGGAGCGCGGGCCGTTTTCAGGCTGGCTCTCGCCTTAGTGCCGCGCACAGTCGTCTCAAAAGTTTGCAAGAATATCACGTGTGGAGGGTGGTTCCTCTTCAAAATTTGGTTGTCGCCTCAGCGCTGCGCATACTTGGTTTAAAAGTTGCAAGAGTTTCACGGGTGGTGGGTGGTTCATTTTTACAATGTGATTCTTGTCTTAGCGCCTCGCGTTTTTGTCTCAACACAGCTCACAAGTGTTTCGAGGATTCTTATGCGTGACATCCCAGACATTTTGTTCCCAACCCTCCTGCGTTGGGTTCTCGTTTTGAATAGAGCACTGCTCGCGCGTCTCCTTCCTTCCTTCCCGTCCCTCTCTTCCCCCCTGCCTTTGACCTCGCCATCCCTGGGGGGCTGCGATCTGTGAAACTGTCGCCACTTTCGAGGGCTGCTGGGGGGCCCAGCACAGTGGGTACTCACCGCGGACTCAAATTAGACCTCGCCATCCCTGGGGGGCTGCGATCTGTGAAACTGTCGCCACTTTCGAGGCCTGCTGGGGGGCCCAGCACAGTGACGCCACGGGCGGACTCAAATTAGACCTCGCCATCCCTGGGGGGCTGCGATCTGTGAAACTGTCGCCACTTTCGAGGCCTGCTGGGGGGCCCAGCACAGTGGGGCCACCGCGGATTCAAATTAGACCTCGCCATCCCTGGGGGGCTGCGATCTGTGAAACTGTCGCCACTTTCGAGGCCTGCTGGGGGGCCCAGCACAGTGACGCCACCGCGGATTCAAATTAGACCTCGCCATCCCTGGGGGGCTGCGATCTGTGAAACTGTCGCCACTTTCGAGGCCTGCTGGGGGGCCCAGCACAGTGGGTACCCACGCGGATTCAAATTAGACCTCGCCATCCCTGGGGGGCTGCGATCTGTGAAACTGTCGCCACTTTCGAGGCCTGCTGGGGGGCCCAGCACAGTGGGTACTCACCGCGGACTCAAATTAGACCTCGCCATCCCTGGGGGGCTGCGATCTGTGAAACTGTCGCCACTTTCGAGGCCTGCTGGGGGGCCCAGCACAGTGGGTACTCACCGCGGACTCAAATTAGACCTCGCCATCCCTGGGGGGCTGCGATCTGTGAAACTGTCGCCACTTTCGAGGCCTGCTGGGGGGCCCAGCACAGTGGGTACTCACCGCGGACTCAAATTAGACCTCGCCATCCCTGGGGGGCTGCGATCTGTGAAACTGTCGCCACTTTCGAGGCCTGCTGGGGGGCCCAGCACAGTGGGTACTCACCGCAGATTCAAATTGTTGACGCTTCGCGTATCCCCACCAGCCCATCCAGAAACGATGCTCAGGGGAGTTGAGGTGATCAGGGAAGTCGGGGAGCATGCAGAATAACAAAGGGCGGGGGAAGCTGTCACAGACCCCGAGAGGGGGAGGATGGAAGAGGAGTCGTCGTCGTCGTCGTCGTCGTCGTCGGAGGAGGAGGAGGAGGAGGGGGAAGAGGAGGAGGAGGAGGAGGAGGAGGAGGACGGAGAAGGAGGAAGAATCGGAGGAGGAGGAGGAGGAGGGGAAGGAGCTTCTTGGGGGTCTTTTGAGGGCCTCTTGGAGGGCTTTTTGGGCGCCTTGGGGCATCTTGGGCGCCTCTTGGGACCCTCTTGAGGCGCTCTGGGGAGCCTTCGGGGCGCTTTTGGGGCCATCTTGGAGGGAGTCGATCAAACAAGAGGGGGGGGTGAATTAGCGCCCCCCCTCGGAAGCCCCTAAAATCGCCTCTTGGACCCCTCTTGGAACGCTCTTGGAGTGCTCTTGGGCGCTCTTGGGGCCGTCTTGGGGCTCTTTTGGGGCTCTCTTGGGGCCCTCTTGGGCCATCTTGGAGCCATCTCCAGGCCTCGGATGGCCATCGGAAGCGAAAAGGCGAGAAAGCAAAAATCATTGATTTTCCTTAGGTTTTGGGACGATTTTGGCCTCTTCGGGGCCTCCTTGGGGAGCTGTTTGGCCACTTGGAGTTATCTTGGGGCCGTCTTTGGGCTTCTTGGAACCATCTTAGGAGCCATCGTGAGCGATCTTGCGCTATCTTGAGCCATCTTGGAGCTCATCTTGGGTTCTCTGAGGCGCTCTTGGAGCCGTCTTGGGCCATCTTGGACGCTCTAACTACCCGCGGCCCCCCCCGTCCAGGTCCAGGGGAGGGGGTAGGGGGAGGGGTAAACCCCTCCCCAAGGGGGAAGAGGGAGGGGTGGAAGAGGATCTGCTCTAGACCACCTACGCCCAGAGGGCTGGTGGGATTAGACCTCGCCATCCCTGGGGGGCTGCGATCTGTGAAACTGTCGCCACTTTCGAGGCCTGCTGGGGGGCCCAGCACAGTGACGCCACACGCAGATTCAAATTAGACCTCGCCATCCCTGGGGGGGCTGCGATCTGTGAAACTGTCGCCACTTTCGAGGCCTGCTGGGGGGCCCAGCACAGTGACGCCACACGCAGATTCAAGTTAGACCTCGCCATCCCTGGGGGGCTGCGATCTGTGAAACTGTCGCCACTTTCGAGGCCTGCTGGGGGGCCCAGCACAGTGTCGCCACGCGCGGACCCAAATTAGACCTCGCCATCCCTGGGGGGCTGCGATCTGAGATCCCCGCCTTCGAAGTGGCTAGGGTTGCTCAGGGATTGTAACTAATCAGCTTGATCTAGTCCTTGTCCTGTAGCCAGTGTCCTGCGAGTGTCCCGAATTCCGTCTGCAGACATATGTAACCCTCGTTCCGTCATCGCCCCCTTTTATAAAGTGTCCTAAACTATTTGCGCCCCGCGTTTGCGCAGGGGTTGGGTACGTCGCCAGGGTAATTTTTGTTCGGATTAGGATTGTCAAGGCGCAGCGGTCACGTTGAGTCGCGGCGTTGTCGTCCCAGAAAGTGTGTTTTGGCACGACTGAGGGCCGTCAGATCGCAACAGTAATGTTGACTCGCGGCGTTGAAGTCCCAGGTGTGGTGCTTTGGCACGGTTGAAGAGTTGTCTTTCTTCGGGGCTCTTCCGCAGTGAAAATAAGTCGTTAAAGGAGCCTAGGAAGAGGGAGCTTGGAGGGAGGGTTCATTGCAAAGTCGTTGATGTGCCTTGGGTTTGCATTGGTCCTCCTCCTCCTTCTCCTCTTCCTCCTCCTCATCCTCCTCCTTTTCCGCCCCCTTTTTCGTACATGCTCCCTCCCGCTCCCTACATGTCTCGTCGTTCTCCTCCCTACATGCCTCGTCGTCGTGCTCCTCCCTCCCTCCCTCCCTTCCTCCCTCCCTCCCTCTCTCCCTCTCTCCCTCCCTCCCTCCCTCCCCTCTTCTCTCTTCCCTCCTCTTGTGCGTGCGGGGCCGTGCAGGATCCCCACACTTTGTCGCTGGACAACGGCAAGGGCAAAGTGCAGAAGGCCGCTGGTGGGAGTGGGGACCTCGTACGCTGCCCTGGGAAAGTAATGCAACTTTCGACGTCGATTTGTCTGTTCTCGTCGACTGCGGCTTTTCGTCGATTTTGGCCTCTGGGCGGGCTCCAGGGCAGTCAGAAACGGACCTGCGATAAAAAAGTATCCCCAAAGAATTCCCCCGAGCGATTCTTCGGCATGACCTGCAACGGTTCCATTACCTTTCCATGGTGTGTGTGTGTGTGTGTGTGCGTGTGTGTGTGTGAATTGCAGGCAGTGCTGCTTGGGGTCCCCCGCAGTGCTCATCTGACAGCCGTCAGGGGTCCGGCAGGGGTGCGATGAGGTGGCGGGTCGGGTGGCTCGCGCCCCGCGACCGTGCGCCTGTCGCTTCCGCCTTCTGGTGCTCTCCTGCTCCCTCCTCCTCTCCTCCTCCTCCTCCTCCTCCTCTCCTCCTCCTCCTCCTCCTCCTCCTCCTCCTTCTCCTCTTTTCCTCCTCTCCTCCTCCTCTCCCTCCTCTCCTCCTCCTCCTCCTCCTCCTCCTCCTCCTCCTCCTCCTCCTCCTCCCCGTTCTTCCTGGGCCACCTTTCCTTGGGCCTGCTCAAACGAAGGCTGTGCAGAGCGCGGGCTCGGGCACGCGGTGGCGGAAGTGGCATGTGTGTCGTGGTGCCGTCCGCCTCTGCCCGAGCCAGGGCCTTCGGCCCGGCTTCAGCAGGGGGTTGGCCTGGGACTGCATTGGGGCCCAGGGGCAGCTGGGCTGCGGGAGATCCCCGTTGAGCCGCTGGGGCCGCCATGTCCG